AGCAACACTCAGCACATATTCTGTTGTATTTATTGGTTTCAGTTGTTGCTCTCCATTGTTTACCACCAACTCCTGAATTCCTTTTTCAAAAATAGTTTTTAATTTAGCTTTTATTTTTATCAAAGTTATATGTAAACATAGTTGAGAGAATTAAATAGTTCTACAAGGCCTATAACCCCTATTACATTTCTTGCTCCCCAGAGGCAACACTTTTTAACTCTTTTAACTGATCGTTTTGTATTTATATTTCTAACTAACATGCATATACTGCTACCTCTTGATTTTTCAGTTTTAAGCATCTACTGATCTCCCACGATGGATGATGAATGTTTAGGTGTCTTGGTCACCCTCCCCTTCTCCCTATCACACATATATTCTTTCTGTCCCCCGTCCTCTCTTAATATGGTTGTGTACTTTTGGTTAGATCAGTATTCATTATTTACGTTATTATAATTATGCAGATGCTATCCACAGCTGAGCCATGTAGTTAACCATACTTACTTCTCCTTTTCTAGACATTTTATTTACCCTGTAGTTAATAAATATGAATATTTGATTAGTTTTCTATGTATTTATCTCAAAACCATAGCCAAACTATGTATCTTTCTGTATTTTTAATTCTTAATTTCACTTGAAAAAGTTTCTCTCAAGGCCTCTGGCTGCTCATTTCTGGGCTGGTTAGCCCTTAGCCCTGCTGCATAGTGGCTATGGCCACTTCACCCTAGGGAGCCCCATCACCTCTTATACGGCATTCACCCTTCCTGGATCTCATGTCCTCTTCTTCCTTGGTTTAAATCCTTGTTTTGGTGGTGTCCTCCTCCAGTAGCTTCCCGAGAAAGAGACAGAGGGCATCTTTGCACTTCCCAAGGAGTCTTTCATCAGCCTCATACTTGATTTATATTCAGTTGAATCTAGACTTCTAGGTGGGGATTATTTTTCCTCAGAATGTGGAAGGGTTTGCTCCACTTTTTTGTAGTTTCCAAAGTAGCTGTGGAGAAGTCTGATGCCTTTCTGATTCCTGATCCTTTATAATGAAATCTGTTTTGTTCCTCTCTGGAACCTTAAGGATCTTCTCTTTGTCCCAGGGGTTTGATGGGTCTGGGCGCAGGTCCATTTTCATTCTCTGTGCGGGGCACTGGCAGATCCTTTAAATCAAAAACTCATGTCCTTTGGTTCTGGAAAATGTTATTGAATTACCATTTTATGTTTTCTTCACTCCATTTTCTCTGTTCTAACTTTATGGAAATCTTATTATTCTATTATTCTCTTGTACTCTTCCTCTCATTTTCTTATCTTTTTTTTCTTTTTCCATGTCTTTGTCCTTTGGCTGTATTTCCTGTGAGATTTCCTTTAACTCTTCTATTGAATTTTTAATTTTTTCTTTCATATTATTTAATATTCAAGGGTATGTATGTAATATATATATATGTAGTAGTAAAGTACATGAAATTTACCATTTTAACCACTTTGAGTGTACAATTCAATGACATTAAGTACATTCAGTGTTGTGTAATCATCACTACTCTCTAGTGCCAGAACTTTTTCATCACCTAAATGGAAACCCCATACCTATTAAGTAGTCATTCTCCATTGTCCCTTCCGCAGCCTCTGGCAAACACTAATCTGCTTTTTCTTTCTATGGGTTTGCCTATTCCTGATATTTCATATAAATGAGATAATATTACATGTGGTCTTTTGCTTCTTTCACTTAACATGTTTTCAGTGTTCATCTTCATCCAGTGTTACAGCACATATTAGCACTTCATTCCTTTTTATGGCTAAATAATATTCCATCATGTGGTTATACCACATTTTGTTTATCCATTTATCAGTTGAGAGACATTTGGGTTGTGTCCACCTTTTGGCTATGGTGGATAGTGCTGCTATGAACATTCGTGTACAAGTTTTTGTTGAGCACCTGTTCTCAGTTCTCTTCGGTATATAACTAGGAGTGTAATTGCTGGGTCATTTGATAATTCTATGTAACTGTTTGAATAATCGACAAACTGTTTAACACAGTGGCTGCACCATTTTGTAATCCCACTAGTAATGTATGAGGGTTCCAGTTTCTCCACATCCACACCAACACTTGTAATTTTATGTTTTTCTTCTTTTTTTTTTTTTTTTTGTGGCTAGCTGGTATGGGAATCTGAACCCTTGACCTTGGTGCTATCAGCACCATACTCTAACCAAGTGAGCTAACTGGCCAGCCCTCTGTTTTTGTTATTATAGTTATCCTAGTAGGTGTAAAATGGTTTTGATTTGCATATCCCTAATGACTAATGACATTGAGCATCTTTTCATATGCTTGTCTAAGAGGTTTTTCTTTTCCCTAAATATTCCCCTTTGGTAGTATCTTATTCTACACTTTTTATGGTTACAATATCTTATTTTCTCTGAAAATACTAATAATATATATACACATAAATAATATAGAAAATGATATATAATGTATGTATGTGTATATATGTGTAAACATTTAATGACATATCTTATTTCCTCCCAGTGCTTTTTCTTCTTTGTTTTGACCTCTGCCTACTATGTTATAGGTTTTCTCAAATGTTTGGTGACTCTTAGCTGTCATTCCTGTTTCAAAGTAAAGCCTTGAAAAGCTCATTGGAAGCTCTGTACCTGTAGTTGAGATTTCTCAACTGTGGGAGTGTCAGGTGATCTTGCTGGGCTGTAGCTTCAGGAACTTCCATTGTCAGTGTCTTTAGGTCTTTCTTTTTGGGCTACTCATATTCTCTAGAGAGGGTGTAGAGGTCTTGGCTACCATTATCTAAGGAAACAAGTCTGGGGGTCTTAACATCCAGTAAACAAACTTTCACTTAATCTACCTTAGTTTTCAGTATGGTACTCCTGCCCTGCCCTCAACTGTGCCTAGTGATCTTTAGCGAAGAGACCCTCTGTTTTACCTTCTCCAGAGAATAAAACTCCAGTCTTGGGGGATGGACATGGGAAGGGATCTGGGGATCCAATTGCTTCTTTAAAAGACTTTCAGGGCCGGCCCGGTGGCGCACTGCTACAGAGGGTTCGGATCCCACATACAGACCGGCCGCTCACTGGCTGAGCAAGGTGCGGGTGCAACACCGAGGGTTGTGATCCCATTGCCGGTCCCGGTCCGGTACAGGCGCGACACTGAGGGTTGCGATCCGTTGCCGGTCACAAAAAAAGACAAAAAGGAAAAAAAAAAAAGACTTTCAATTGATCTTGTATTTTTTTATTCTTATCTTCACTCCCTACTTATAGATGTACTTGGTGCTGCCCATTCCTGAGCCCTTTGTTCTGTGATAGAAACTGGGTTGCATTTCAGCCTTTCCCACTGCCAACTTAGGGGTTAGCTTTCTTGGATCTGCTAAGTCAGATTAACTTTTCAGTTTCCCACATTTTGTTGCTGTTATCTCCTTTCCCATTCTTTGTCCCTGTGGTTTTATGCCCTTAGAAAAATAAATCCCCATAACTATCATTTCACTGGGATTTTGAGAGAGTGCAGTAGAGGCTATGGTGAATAACCCTATATCCAACCATTCAACCTGTCACCTTTCACTGGTAGTCTATCCCCAGTTCTTAGCATGTTGCTTACCACATAGTAAATGCCCCAAAATATTTGTTGGTAGAATAAAGTATTAATTAGAGTCACTGTCCTTCCTATCTTTGAAAACAGTTGGAACCTGGGCTTTGCCCACCAATTAACTGTGTGACCTTGGACAAGCCGTTTCCATTCTGGAGCCTCATCCCCTAGTCTGTAAAATAGCAGTAATAAGAACACATTCACGTGCCTTGCTCCGTGCCTACAGCACAGGAAGCTCACGATATTTGTGGTGTGACAGGGTTCAATATCAAAGCAACAATTCTTAGAAAGTCAATGTTTTACTTAAGCTTAAAATTAGCCTTCACATTTGAATTGCTAATTCGTCCCTAATTAATGCCCTTCTGGGCAAAGTCTCTGTTTAACCTGACTTGATGCATAGACCGAGACAGAAAACTTCAGCTAAGAGAGGAAACTAACGTTAGTCACCGAGTGCCTAACGTGTGCTATCGCCCTTCCTCGGTCAGGTTGGTGGGTCCAGGACTTAACAGTGGTACTGTGTCTGAGGTGCAGACCCTGTACTAACCCCGACTCCTCACCCCTTCCGCGCTCCGCCCCTGGCCTCAGACCTGGTTTGTTGAAGGGAGCCCAGCGTGGGAACCCAGAGACATACCCACTCTGGTCAAAAAGTCCGAGTCAGGCCCACCCTGGGCCACGCACTGTTCCGGGCGCCGAAGAGGCGCAGCCCATCTTGGCCCTCACCGAGAAGTCCCTACCCTACCACTTTCTCCAAAGGAGGCACTGAGGCAGCTCCCTTGAAAGGCAACTTCATGCCCCCTAAGTCCACGTCGACCTTCTCCTCAGTCCGCATTCCTCCCGGTCCTTAAGTCCCCTTTCCTAGACCCCTTCATAGCGTGACGGGGCGCCAGCGCCAGTCTGCCGCCCTCGTCTCGGCCACGGTGCGCGGCGCAGGTGAGGGCGGGGCCGAGGGCGGGGCCTGAAGAGACGGCGCCCGCCGGCCCCGCCACATTCGCCCCCCCAATCCCCGGGGAGCGGACGTCTTT